GGCGGCCGCCGTGCTTGAGCAATGTAAGGAAGGGGGTTTGGCCCCAATTGGTTATTTCAGTACGCGGTTTCAAGGAGCAGAAAGGAACTACTCAACTATCAAAAAGGAATGCCTTACCATTATCTTGGTCTTGAGACATTTCAAATTCATGATATTAAGTCATAACACCACGATTCTTTCTGACCACAAACCTCTGGTGTTCCTAAGTAACATGAAGAATGGTAGTAAACGGTTGACCCGCTGGGTCATGGAGTTAATGGATTACCATATCGAGATCGAGCATGTAAAAGGCATAGATAACAAAGTGGTGGATTTCCTATCTAGGAACATTAATGGGGTGAACCAGTTCAATGTGGATTCTGTTAGGACCACAGTCATAAGCTGGGATGAGATTCATTTGTCCCAGGATGGCGATGACACCTTTGGCCCCATCAAAAGGGACATAATGCAAGACCCAACAATGATGTCCTAAAATGTAAGCTGTCCCAGTATGTCATGATAAATGGCTGTCTATATAGAAAGAGGTTTCTGAGGTCTCAGAACCAATATATCAACCAACTGTGTGTAGGGAAGGGCCTTGCCGAGGCGGTAGTCAGGGCGGTGCATGAAAATGATCTATCTGGGCACTGGGGGGTGAAGAAAAGTATCAGGAACATCGAGAAACATTATTATATCCAGAACCTGAGAACTAAGGTAGAGGAGGTTATCAAGGTGTGCGGTAAGTGCCAAAGGCATAATGTCCATAAAGGCAAATCCCCCTTCCAGGAAAATGAGAAAGCTGACTCACCCTTCCAAAAGGTAGCAATTGATATAATAGGACCCATCCGTACGATAAGGAACGGGAACCGGTACATTCTCATTATAATCTACATTTTTACTCGTTTTGTTGAGGCGCACCCCCTAAAGGATCAAATGGCTTGGTCTATTAGCAATACAATCTTTAATGAGGTGATTTGCAGATATGGCACAGCTGAAGTTATTATATCCGATAGGGGCACAAATTTTTTGTCCTCACTATTCTTGGACTGTTGCAAGTGGTTGGGGATTCACCAGAACATCACCACTGCTTATCGGCCATGTTTGAATGGAATATGCGAAAGGGTGAATAAATCTTTAATCGAGATGATTGCTAAATCATCAGCCGACAGGGGAGTGGAGTGGGATGAGATGGTTCACTCAGCTTGTTTCACCTATAATAATTCTCATCATTCTGCCATTGGCGAATCGCCAGCATGCCTATTTGGCCTCAACCATTGATCAAATTTCGGATGGTATGACAACCGACGAATGGAGGGCATTCTTGATAACCAAGCTTCGCTCGTTAAGGGATGATGCAAATAGGCGGGCGAGGGAATTTAATTGTAAAGGGAGGGACTACCGTAACAAGGGTAGGACTCTAACGAAATTCCTAATAGAGCAAAGAGTCTGGGTGAGGAAGATGGGTGCTAAGAAAGATGGGTTTTCTACTCCAGAACATCCACAGAGTAACAGGAGTGTCAAGAGGTGGAATCAGATGTTTAAGAACATGCTCAGCCACATGATATCAGATAACAGGAGGAATTGGGATAAATTTGTTCCCTTCCTGTTGTGGGCATAGAGGGAAGTGCTGCCTGCTTGAAACCACTGGTGTATTGCCCTTCAAGATGTTATGTGGGAGAGTGCCTTTGGGACCACTGGCAATTTTAAAAAGGAATGGACAGGGAAAGTAACTCTTCCCGACAGCCTTAACACCAAGGCTATGGAATATGTAGGAAAGTTAGTTGAGTGCATCAAAGTAGTTAGTAAGATCACAGCAGAACAGGCTGATGTTAAACAGAAGCCGTATGCTTCCCACTACAACTTAAGGGCATGGATGGCCCAAGGAATTTTGGATAGGGAGATATTACTTGATTAGGAAGACTAATCACCATGATAGAAAAACGGGAACGTGAAGGTAGTTATAGGGTGAAATTAGAAGATGGAAGGACAAAATGGGTCTCCTTCCAAGCCTATCTATGTGGATAGATAGGCTTGGAAGTACTGCAATCAGATCTGTGATGTCAGTGTAATATTCAACTTGGATATTGACTTCAGGGAGGTACTAGAAGCCCCTTTGACACAACAGTTGAATGACCAAAGGCATAAAAACAGGAAAGTTAGTGAAGTCCTCCACATCTCCCAGCTGTGGCACAGAATGACCTTTGCAATACATTGGAGGAGTACCATTCAGTGTTTGGGAGTAAGCTGGGGAGAACGAACATAATAACACATAAGGATGCCAAAACAGTTTGCACCTTATCAGATCCTTTGATGTTATGGAAAAAGGTAGATGAAACTATAGAAGAATTGTTTGGTGCAGGGCTGATCTGGCCTAGTATGTTTGAGTTGCTCACCCTATTGTCTGTATGGCCAAAAGAAAGGGAGGAATTCGGTCATGTGTAGATTACCGACATCTAAATGCCAACACAGTGCCCAACCGCTACCTGATGGTACCTCACCGAACTCATATACCATGTAGCTGAGGCTAGATACATCACTTCATTGGACTTTTGTAGAGGTTATTGGCAAGTGCCACTAGATGTCAAATGCAAACATCTCACTGCTTTTGTTACCCACTGCAGCCAGTTTGCATGGGAAGTGATGCCCTTAGGTTTAAAGAACACAGCCACAACATTTTAATGTCTAATGGATCTGGTGGTGGCCCCATTCAAGGACTTTGTGGTAGCATATATCGACAATGTAGCGATATTTTCATGTAGCTGGGATGAACACCTGGTCCATATTAAGGCAGTATTAGGGGCGCTAAGGAATGCTGGGATGACCATGAACACCACTAAGTGTCAGTTTGCTAGGCCATGCATTTTATATTTGGGACATGTAGTCGGTTCTGGACAGTACACTCAGGACTCATATCATATTAAAGCCGTCACCACTCTGCCTTTACCAAAGACAAAGGATCAACTCCACAGCTTCCTTGACATATGCAATTACTATAGGGATTACACATCCTGGATTTTGCAGGTTTGTCTAACCCCCTTACCAATCTGCTCACGTGATGAGCAGTGAAGGAACCAGGAGCTGGAACCTGCCTGGCACAATTTTCTCCAGAAGGGCAAGAAAGGCCAATGGCTTTCTCCAGTAAGAAATTAAAAGGTGCAGAGGTCTGTTGGGTGACAATTGAAAAGGAGACCTTCGCCATTATATGGGGCCTCCACAAATTTCATTACTGAGTTTATGGGTGACCAATCACTGTGGTCGTGGATCACAATCCTCTGAAATACCTTACTTTGTCCACACCAGTGCTAAGCTCACCTGGTGGGCACTTGCACTGCAAAGTTACAATGTGCGAATCAAGCATCAGAAGAGGGGATTATGCACAGTAATGCGGATGCCCTCTCCTGGTTAGAAATGGACAGCATGACCAGTAGGAAAAGAATGGGAGGTGGAAGGTCATAGTGCATAACATCTCTGTGCACAAACAGGGAGTGACCTCACAGGTGTTCTGGAAGGAAAGTTCGGTGTGCTTGTGTAAATCAAAACAAACCTTCTCTCATTGTGAATTGACTGATAGAAGTTACAATATTGTTTCAAACAGGCTTGAAAGAATTCAGTTTGATCCTTGACAAGGGAGGTGTCAAGGATTATTGTGTAGTGACATTCTAAGTCAAGTTTTTACTCATCAGAGCATGTTTTCTAGAAAGGACTGGTTGGAGAATCATCCTGGAGAAGTCAAGACAGCATGCCAACCAAGAAGGACCCAATAGAAAGTTCAGATCACCTCCAGATTGATTGGCCAACGAATCTAAAAATTAAATATAAGGAATGTAACCATTGGAATGAAGAGAAACAAGCCTGGACTAAGACTGTGTTGTTAGAAGCAAGTAAGAAACATTGCTATATATTATATTGTAAATAGTTGTCAAATAAATGAACTAGTCTTAGTCTGATGATGGCTGAGTGGTTAAGTGTTAGCCTACCACTCTGACAAACCCAGGAACAAATCTGAATGGATCAAAAATCCCCAGGAATTTTTTGGGGTGGTCCATCTTAGATATGTCAGGCTTGATAAGAAGGCTTTCTGAGTGCCCTCGGGGCAGAAAAAGTAAAACACCCAAAGAATAATCATTGTTATCAATTCAGTGTTTTTGGCACTAAATCTGGTATTCTCAGTTAATTGTTTAGTGACCTGTTCAGTGGCACATTATCCTATGAACAAAAGGACAGTTGCCTGGGTCCAATATTTTCTTATAAAAGATTGGTTTCTATCCACCAACAGTGGGTCTAAATCAGTCTTTTATAAAATATTTTCCCAAAACATTCCCCCAAAGAAAAATGTCTGAAGTCAACACTTTACATGGGCCTCCTAATTTAAATTTTCCTGGGCCTCATAGCAAACAGGTCCAGTGAAGCTATAATGCTTCACTGGACCTGTTTGCTAAAATTTAGCTATGTCTGAACTTTTTATATAATGTTTATTATGTATAATGTACTATTACTCTGTATTAAACTTTTTACTACTAATAATTTGTTTTGTAGGAAAAGCCAATATTGTAAACTTATTACTGTTGTAATAAAAATGAAAATTGAATAAATGCTTAAAAAGTGCTACAAATTTCACAAGTAATTTTTCTATAAATTGTTTTTTATTTCTCAGTCTTTGAATTCCAAAATTAGACTTTCCTAGCTATCAAATCAATCTCAACTATAATATAAGGTTGGCTGGTATGTGATAACAATGATTATAAAAGTATATATTTTATTCAAACACAATAATTAAAGAGAAGTATATATTAAATGAATTATACAATATGAAATACAAATACTTTATCTCTTGAAAGTATTGATAAAAATATCAAGAGATTTTATAAATTCAAAATAGAGATTGACAATTCAGTCAATTATTTTCAATTTTTGCATAATTTTCATTTATTAAATGAATAAATAAATAAATAAATAAATAAACTATATTAAAAATATTAAGTGTAAAAATATGAGTCGAGATATAAATTTAAATTTTCAAAAATTTCATATTTTTATTTATATAAAAATATGGGTTTTTAATAAATTGTACTGCTTGTTTTACTAATGATTAGTTTGGCAATGTTATTGCCAAACTAATCATTACTAATATCACAATAATATATAAAAAATGAGTTTTAAAAACTTGTAGAATACTTGAATTATGGGAAAAGGCTCATTAAAGATACTAATTAACAATCCAAATCATCAAAAATTCAAATGCCAGATGACTTTGAATTAACATCCAAGTTTTAAAATATCTATCAAAATTTGATAGTTTAAATTGATCACATGGCAGTAATTGTCTCTCTTTCAACAGTTTAGATTGTTAATTAGTTTGACTTTCTCAAATCATGAAAACGAATAATATAATTAGGTTGTGAAGAATTTTGGATATTGTTCACACTTTAATTATCCCATTAAATTCTAATTTTTTCTAAAAAAGTATTATATAGAAATATCAGTTATAAAACTTTTTATGTAAATTTGAGCAATTCTATTTATGATAATAAGAAACTATAGTTAAACTTTTATAAATTCATTACTATTAGTTTAAAATATAATGCAATGAATTGTGAATATTTAGAAAATTATATCAAAATATTAGTTGCTTTTTATCTTCTCTTGAGTCAATAGTTGAGATGTTCTCATCATCAACAGAAACGGTATGATCAAAAGTAAACTTCCACTACAATAACATAATACTGGACCAAATAACCAAAATGCTGAAAATATTAATTACTAGTATTTAATTTATAATTAAAAAAAACACAAAACAAGAATAATAAAGAAAATCTTTAAAATTAAAATAAAATTTAGTTATCTGAAGTAAAATAATTATTTAGTATTTAATATTAGTTGTATCTTTTATAAGTATCTAATACTTAAATAAATTCAGTATTTTAAAATATAAAAAAACATTAAAGTCTTCTTGAGCATATTAATAATTAAAATTTAATAACAGTAAAAGATTACCACTAAAATATTACCTGATGCTGAAATAAGAGGTCCAATTCCTCTTGCTAAAGCACCTAATGATCGAAATATACCCAAGATAATTCCCTTTTGATCAGCTGATCCATAAGAAGAAACAATAGCTGTTAAACATGGAACAACTGTTGCAGATGCTAAAATATTTTAAGAGAATCTATATTAAATTAATAAAAATGAAAGAGATGAATTTATGATAACAAACATAAAACCTTTATTTAAATAAGATAATATAAAGTATTACCAAATGAATAAATTGTTAATCCCAAATATAATATTGCTTGATTTGGAGCAATTCCAATGATTATAAATGAAGGAATAATTGACATCAGACCCTAAAAAAGTTATAAAATATTCAGCATTTATAAATAATAATAAAAAAATTAATTGTAATATACAATTATTTAATTTAGCATGCTAAATATTTTTGTTATTTTAATTTTTTTTTAGATAATTACTTTAATTATTTAAATAATTTTCCAATAATTAAAATCTTTTGTTTAACTATCAATATACAGTTGACCCCCTATAATTACAGTCCCTATAATTACGATTCCTATAAAACTACGAAAAAATATACGTATTTTGGAAATGTTGAGTCGGATTAGTGTAGAATCGATTAATTTTATGGAAGAAAACCTTTCAATCAGCCGTAGTCCGTAAACTTGACACGTGTCGGGCTGTGATTGGAACGACTTGTAAGAAATCGGATTCCTAATAAATTGGAACGTATCTATATCTTATAGGGGGG